TCTTAAATCAGACCTTGATTTATTTTCATGTCTTGATTATCTTATTTTATGCCTTAGCCTTTTTGGTTTTATGCCTACATGTTTGCTATTCTTTTATACTCATCCTCTGTAATTTGATCTAATTTTACTTTTTCTGTACTTCCTTCGGGAAGTCAGGTTATGAAAAGACTCATGATTTTAACTAAGATGATTTCTTCATATGAATCCTCCTGTTCTTCCTCGATCTTGAGGATAGTTTGCACGTGCAACCTAAACACTATAATTTTTTTTTAGAAGTAGCCAAAATCTTCAGGACTCCTTTATCTCCCTTAGACTTGTTTCCCTTGGAATCATAACTGTATTTTTTTTCTCTTTTGAGAGTATACTGATTTTATTCTCTTGTCCTTTTTATTTACTTCTTCCATGAGCTCTGTCATTTTACTGTCACTGTTATTAAAGTCATCTTCCATCTTTGTATTCACAACCACTTCCAGCCTGTTGCTTAGACTTGAATGTAGAATAGGCCACTCAAGGTTGCTTTCCTACAATTTTATATAAAAAAATTGTTCTTCAAAGATCCTGAGAACCTTCAGGGTGCCCCATGTCCTGCTAGGTACCTCCCACCTGATCCCTGGGAAGTGAAAATCTCCCTCTTACCATGTACTTTGGATGATTCAGGTATTTGTTCAGCTGTGTCCAATCATTCCTCTGTCATAGCTGAATGACTTTTATAGCAAAATTAACAATCAAGCATACATCATCTCTGCCTTATGATACACTTACTCTGTAGAGCAGCATTTACGCTCCCATCTGAAAGGCACAGGTGGGACACTTCCTCAAGAGAGGGCTCAGCATTTGTATTGAGACTTACACAAGCACATTGGGCAACAATGCGGAACTCTAGTTCCCCTCTGCACTATTAAATGCCCTGGGGTTCCTTTTGTCACCCAATAGCTTATGAATTGACATTGACAATATGGGTTATTTAAATCTCACATTTCTTGAGGACATGAAGACTAGCATGTCATTTGTGCTGTCAGTTTGAAAGCACTGTGTATTGACATATGAAACCAGTGTTTTACACTGACAGAATTGTTCTAGTTCTATGTTATTCCCCTAGTGACTGAGTCATGGATACTATAGAAGGCAAACAAGAGCAGTGTGGGTGATAAAGCAATGCTACTAAGTTTTTAGCGATGTCATCCTGCTCCACAAAGCACAAATAATGGCAAATAATTACCTGTGTGGTTTAGGCGAAGCTGCACAAAGCCATGTTAAAGCAAAGGTTGTACCTGCCTGCTCCTTCTGAAGAAAAAGGAGGACACTGGGAAGAAGCCACACTATCCCACAGTGACTTGCCATTGCTCTCCTCTGAGCTCACTGAGCGTCGCTCACTGAGTGTCTCTCACTGTTTTCCCTGCAGGGCTCAGGGGCAGCTGCTAAATGAGAAACATTACAGTGGAAAGGTCAATAACTCATGAGAAAACACAACTTCTAAGAGCAAAACGTGCGCTCAATGTCAGCCCAGGACAACGTTAAAAAACTAAAGGCCACTATGTTATGTTGCAGCAATGCCACCCTGATATCTTGCAGGTGCTTTGCCCTCGCAAAGCCCCTCTTAACCATATGGGCAGCATGGAGCTGGGTTTGGCACCCATGTATGTCAGACTCCTTAGGAAGAGGAGAACCAAGGCAGGTTCTGCCTCAGCAGCACGGCATTAATAGTGTGCTTGTGTGGTTAAACTGTGTTATGTTATTGAAACTGCACAGATATTAGGCTGCCACTGCTAGGGTAGATTTCCTCTGCAGGACCATGGTCTACCACCATCCCTGTTCTCCATGCCAATTGTGGGTGGCTGTACACCTTCAGAAAGTATGGAGCAAGCCTCCCTAAAAGAGCCTTACCAGCCAGCTTTGGAAACACTGATTCTAAACCAAGAGGGTAAGAAAGAGCTGGACTAAGCTCTCTGGCTAGCTGTTGTTGGGGCCCTGTGGTCTGAGGCCCTGTCTGTATCAGATAATTGTCAGCTGTGTTGTGTGAGTCAGGGAGGGGTAAAGAGGAAGAAAAGCTTGCTTGGTTTTGCTATCTGACATAGGTCACATGCAAGACCCTACCAGTCACCTTTTGCTTGTATTCCTAGCGACAGTTCTGGTTTACCGTACCAGCCTAAAGAACAGTTTCACTAGCATAGCTGCACACCCTCGGGTATGTTTTGCTGGTATTGTCTAGAAGCACAGAAAGTTGGGGCTGGCAGAACTTCTAGAGATCACCTATCTCAGCTTACTGAGTGAACAAGCATCAGTTTTACCTGTATTATTCTTGGCTTGTTTGCAGAGGCTCCAGCAACGGAGCTTTTTGAGAACTTGGTTCCACTTGGACACTGCACCCACAGAAGGGTGTTTCCCAGCCATACCACAGGATACCATAAAGAAGGTCAGCTCGTCCACTTTCTTTCTCGGCAGCAGCATCCACTGTAGCTACAGCACTCCTGACAGCTAATTCTCTCTCCTGTTCTGAAAGACTACTAATATTTGAGACTTCACAGCCCCACAAAGAAAACAGAGGGCTTTTCTATCACGGTAGTAGCGTTTTCCCTGCGATCTCTCCTGAACCTTTCTTTCTGCAACTGAGGAGTGCTATGTCTTCTTATTTCCACCATGAAGATCCGATTAGTCTCTACATCTCTGCAGCAGCCTTTTGCACATATGAAGGCTACTCCTATGTTTCTCCTCAGGCCTTCCTCTATTTTCATCTAAAGAAGCCTCATCCTTTAAAAGCCTAATGCCTCATGCGCAAGAGTCCCTTGCCCAGATATATTATCTTGGACTAGGTCTGAGCAATGTCATGCCTTTTTACTTTTCATATTAGTCCTTTCCTAAGCCTTAAATTGATACCACTCTTTGCTTAACATCCTCCCTTTCTTCCACATCCCAGGACTGGCCTTTCCTTGAAGGCTGAGAAAGCCTGAGCATCAGGGGCAGCTCAGAGCCTCGCTTTCCACCACCCTTAGTGAATGTCAGCTCTTGCCCAAACCAGCAATGTATGCTCATCCTAAGGAATGCTAGTGTTTTAAAATCTGCCACTTTACACAGCAGCTGTGTGCCATACTACTTGTCTAGCTTTTTTGATCTCTTCTAACTTTACTAAGTGTGAATTGCACAAAGTAATTACATAAATATGTGTGCTTTTATTCTTTCTTTTCTTGCTGCCTCTAGAGTTGGTTATTGGCCTTGGTAAAGAGTTCAAGTAAAATGGCATCAGTCGGAGAAAGGTGCAAGCAGACAGTTCACTCATGCCACCTCTGCAGTGTGGCAGAGACACTGCCATAGAATGAGGAATGAAAACAAAGCCCTTGAGCCTTGAGCATTACAGGCACCATGGCACAGGATGAAAGGTTCTCTGGAAACCAGTTTCAGATCTGTATATGATAAACCGATTGCAAAGACCAAGGACAAAGTCTCCCACACTCTACAGAATAAATAACACTTCTCTTCCAAGCATAGTCATGCTGCACACAAAGATGGACTTTTGTCTCTCTTGCATGCTCATCTGTTAAACCATCTCTGTTCTTGCTCTCAAGGTGCTACTCAGGTTGACAAGTACATATATACATACCAGCTAGTAAAACCCACAAACGGCTACCATTTCCAGAGGGAAGCCCTCCCCTCAACCACCTTGACATAGTCCAGCCTGTGTTTCACTTTCCTGAGGTAAAATAATGCCCTTAGCACAAGTACTTACATAGGATTTGTTTGTAGCACCTGGGCCTGAGGCTGTCCATTTGAAAAGGGATGTTTCACCCTAATGGAGCACAGGACAGGCTACAGGTGAAGGGGGGACAGGGGATTAGAAGATACAAACAAGAATCCAGTGGACAGACGTAGTCAGAGAACTAACATTGCTGAATAAATATTTAGGTAAGCCCACTGAGAGTTTACACAGGTGGAGGCCATCAAACTGGAGTCCTTCAAGCCAGCAGTTACTGCTGAATGTAGCAATACCTTGTGCAGAGGTACATGCAGAGTTGTATTTCTAGTTTTTCAGACTGGTTTTCTCAGAGCACCTGCTACAGGAACCTAGCCAGGGCCACCTGAAGTCCTAAGAGATACATAGCAGAGGTCTGGTGAGGTTCACTGTACCTCAGACAAAAGGGGAGCATATTGGACAGAAGGAATCCTGGAAGGGCCACTAGGATGGTTAGGGGACAAGGGCACATACATACAAAAGGTGGCTGAAGGAAAGGGGTTTGTTCAGCAAAGGAGAGTTGGGGAATCTGGGGAATTGCAGTCTTCCATTACCTAAACAGGGATTACAGTGAAGATGGAGTCAAATGCTTTCTCAGAGGTGCACAGCAAAAGAGCAAGAAGTAGCAGTCAGAAGTTGCAACAAGGAACATTCCAGTTGGATATAAGAAAATTTTTACTTGTGAGAGCGCTAAAGCATGTAAACAGATCATCTAAAGGGATCACAGAATCTCTTTCTCTGGAGATTTCCAACACTTGAATGGATCAGGCCTGCACAGCATGATTTAACTTTGATGTTAGCCCTCCTTTCACCAGGGGGTTGGACCAGATGACTTCCAGTTGTCCCTTCCATCCTAAATTTTTCAATGATTTTTGTGAACTTTGTGAAGTTTGAGGCTGAGAAGGCTTGAAGAAGAATGTATTTAGGAATACAGATACCCACACAAAAAAAAAAAACAGCCTGTGAAGCTTCTGCCAGAAGAACTTGCAGCACAGATCAGGGTAATATCTGACTAAACAAAGGGTGGGAAACCCCTGGATGAACTTGTCTCTTTGCAAGGAAATTAATATCTTGGTATCTAACTTGCCATATAAGGACCCTTAGGCCAGTCAAACCCTTAGGCCCCCCTCCATTCTCCACCTCCTCATTAGTCTTGACATAATGCAGATGAAATATATCACAAGTACTTGTTACGGACATTCACTCTTTTTTCACTCTTAAAAGAGATTTTGTACTCATTTATTTGTAAGCTGACTGGAGGAAAAAAAACAAAAAAGAAAAAGAAAAGTGTTTTATTTCAAACGCTGATGTACATCAATATTGCACCTTACAGGAACACACAGAAAAACTACATGTGCAATGAGTTCTCTGATCCTCAGCCATACACATGCAGAACGTGACACAGAAAACAGTTGAATATGTACGTTTTTTTCTGAGGAAGCAAAACAGAAGCGTTCAAAGTAAACTAAAGTGAAGTACAATTCATATAAAGGGAAATAATATTTTAATTAGCAGCAGTGACCTAGGCAGGTATGTGGACCATATTTGGTTATTTAGCATCAAATGCTGAATACTTACCTGTGGCTCAGCTTTTTGCCACAGAAGCTTCTCTGTTCACCTAATCTTCCAAACACATCAATAGGCAGAAGATAAACAGCTCTAATAAGAACAAACTCCCTACTGAACCAACTGGCTGCAATTTGAAGAGTAACTGAGGTTCTGGTCTTCCTACTTTCATCACGATTGATGGGGCTCATGTTACGCCCAGCAGTGTCAGGTGGAATCACTTGGGCAAACAGACAGAAATCAAAATGGTAATGTAAAAATAAATGAGTAAGCAAGCCAAAGATCCCAGGAAGCAGCCATTTTGTTTGGGGAAAGCTTCTCACTGTACAAATTCAAAGCAACACTGGCAGCCCACATATGCATGCTGGAAGCCAGGAATAAAACAGGAAGAAGCAGCACCATAACTTTAAGGAAACAGCTCTCAAAAACGTTTAGCAGATGTGCTAAAAAAAGGATAAAGTTTATATTACAGATTGTACACCTGCACCTGGTTAGCTAATACAAGGATCAAGAGCCACACCACTAAATTTTTTGTCTCAAGACCACTCTCACCCAGCGTAAGAACCTGGACAGTTTGGTATAGATACCATATTTGCCTTTCCTTGCACATCCTTCTCCCCAGCTAACAATTCCAGTAACAAAGTAAGTCTCCTTATACTTGGTTACATGGGGGCCTCCACTGTCTCCTTGACAAGCATCTTTTTGCTCTGTCTCGTAACCAGCACAGAACATGTTTTCTGTTATCTCAAAGTTAGTGGATTGCTTGCAAGTGTTCCTATCAACATAGGGGACTTGAAGCACTTTCAGTTTTTTGGATAGTCGTCCACCTTCAAATTCACGCCCGAAGCCACTAACCATCCCAGATTTTTGGTTCATCAGGACTTCGTTAGCAAAGTCTATTTCAGGAAGGCATGCTGGGATAACATACTCAGAAAATGTTATAGGTTCCTTCAGCTTTATTATGGCTATGTCATTATCGTAAGTTTCTGCAACATACTTAGAGTGAACAAGTGTTTTGTCCACTGTATGCATTGTTTCAGACTGTTCTTCCTTTTCTCTGTCCACTTCACCTGTATAAGATCATTAAAAGGGTCATTAATATGGAGAAGGTGCAAGAAATTAAAAACAACCTTGATAAAGAGACTAGTATCCCATTCTTTACACTTTGCCTAGGCCTTTATACCATACAAGTAAATTCTAAAAATTTATTGCAACATTTATTAGCAGCACATGGATGCAGTTTCAGTTCCAAGGTCTTGTATAGGGAAATTATTGTACCAGTTTAAGGAAAGGATAAACTCATTCAGCTAAACTAACGCAACTTTAGGCGGAAGTTCTTACAGGAGACTGAGCATGGCTTGCATCAGGGAAGAGAAACTGGTCTGGGCCAAGACTAAGACAGTTCAGGCACAAAGTTGCGTTGATTTAGTGTCGGAAGTGAAGTCAGAATCTGAGCTACTTTCTTCTTCCTTCAGTCAATGTGTTTTAGCTTTCCTGAGCGTCCAAGTCTGTATGCTTCAGACTTGCCTGGAAAAATTATGAGCTTTCTAAAGAAGGACTCCTCTGATGAATACAATGCTAGCCAGTACTGCAAGAACATTTGTTCTTAATCGTGTCTGCCTAGCTGACAAAAAAAAGGAGATGCACCATTAGCACCTTCTACATCAGCTACTCTTGTTAGCACAAAACAGGATGCCTGCAATAATGGGAAATGATAAAAAGTAAAACAAAACAAAACCCCGCAACCTGTAACAAAGTAATATGAGTACATCTCACATAGGTTTCAGAGCACAGAGGATTAGTTCATAGCACAGGCTCAACATCACAGGAGAAAAATAAATAACCACTTACCAACAACAACTTTAATTTCTTTAGATTGGTTCATGCAGTGAGCTGCAGTAAGTATAAAGTTTTCATTCAAAATAGTTCCACCACAAAACTCTTCCCCTTCCTCATTTATCAGAACAGCCTGTGAGCGAAAAAAGATAAATGCAGAATTAAGAAGAGCAGTTTAACTTCAGTGAGTTATGAACAGGTAATTGCTTTCTTTGCACTCTACATATGTGCATATTACTGCAACACATACTAGACTGCAGGTCTCTTTGCAGCTGTCCTAGTACTGCGTACACACATGCACATGCTACAGACAGGCTACAGAGTCTCGGTTGTTCTTATATGATGAAGAGGTTTGGCTTTACATATTGCCTCACAATACTTAGTAACATCTTTCAGGAAAAGACACGGACTGACTGAGAATGGAGAGAGCACTGCCCAAATCACCCCTCCCCTAAGGCTTACTGCCCTAAGGAATTCCTGTCCAAGTTCTGTTTCCCATTTGACTCCGCTTAGTCTTTGTGAACTGATTGCAGGAGCTCATTTTGGCTGGTACAAAGTCAAGAGGAAAATTTAGTTACGGAGGTGTATTTGTGAAGCAAATTCACACTTTATCTGACATGCTGTCAAGTATACTACCTAAATGGACTGCTATCGTGGAGAGGACAGGGACGGAGAGGTGGAGGACAAAGACTGTAATACAGTGTTACAGAATAGGACATGGCTGTAGATCATCATCTAGCACTGGATTTTTGTCCAAGCTTTCCCCTATAAATACTCCTGTCAGACTAAGAATGAGCAAACATAATTCCATGCTAAATAGAGGCTATGACTCTACAAATAACCTCAACAGCACATGTAGTGTGGTTTGTTAGGTCATGGATTTGGGAACTGAAAGCTGATTGAGCTAAGTTTGGGTAGTGCTGGCCAAGCCATTAGATCAGGAACCTGCTAAAAGGATTAAAGCTTTGTGCACAGCATTATCCCGGGCACCTCCTCTCACCTGTGTCAGAACACTACATTTATACTAGTACCATTCAGAAGTGGACTATACACTAGTACCCCCAGTGAGTGAGCAGACTGGAACGGAAAATCACACCAAGATGCACCACAGCCGAAGAAACAAAGGAGAGAAGCTATAGTTCCTCAGAAAGGTTGAGTGGAATGACATAGAAAGAGGCGAGGCAGAGAGATTAAGCTATTAGACATTCCAAACTCTGCCAGAACAAACCAGTTTATGGACAGAACTGGAATATAATCTGCAAAGATGACACTGTTGGGCCAGCTTGTCTAACAAGCCCTCTCTGGTGACAGGTTAAGCAGCGCTATCTAAAATTGCACAAAGCCTTTCATTTTGATATTTTAAGGCGGCAATACACAAAATAGTGTATCTAAGGGCCTAGGTACATGCAACTCCGCTATCTGCAGCTATAAATGACATACCACATGGATAACACAAGGCAACCAAAGAAAATAAGCAACTGCACACTTTCCCTCAGAAACATGTTCTGCTTACATGCAGAGCACAAACACCTGATTTACCTGCCATGGACATTCACCAAGCAGACACTCATCACCACCTACTATCCTGGTAATCACATCTGGAGTCTTGACACTTGTTTCATTCCGAGGCTGGATGGTCGGGCTTTCTGTGGTAGCAACGATACCCTCTTCCAGATTTGTTTCATTTGTGGGAGAGACATCTTGATCACTGGTTATGTCGTTCTTAACAGCAGGTGAAAGAACCGACCTTTTTTTCCTTTTCACATAAACTTTTCCACAGGGAAACTTTACTGTAAAGACAAGAGCATTAAAATTAAAGAGGAAGGACAAAAAACACCTACACGAGGGGAAACGCCTTGACCACACCCTCTTGCAAGAAATCAGCTGTCCTGTTTTGAAGACGCTAACAAAACGTTGGCAGATGCAACAATGTTTATATTGTTCTATTCATGTATCTGCTATTACTGAAACCATCTTAATTGGGCAAACGAGCAAAGTATTCTATGTTAGGCATCATATCACTAACGACAGTAATTAGTTATAAAGGATCTAGAAACAGATGTCATCCATATATGGTTGACTTATCTCTCCCCCGCAAGGTTAGTTGGAATACAATGGAAATGTACATCAAATCGTATTATTCTGAATTGTTTGATTACTATTTGATTAGGTTAAATGACTTGAAAAGTAGAAAAGTAGTTCTTGGAAGTTGCCATTTTAAATGGGGTGTTTTTAAGTAAGCGAGATGTAACTACAATGACTTTTCTCCTGCCAGCAGCACGTTGTTTCCACTCTGGTAATTGCTGTGAAAGGCACCTTGCAAAGGATTCCCAGTAATCTAGATTTGAAGATGGCCATCACTTCACCTCACACACGGAAGGCTTTGAAAATACAAATCAGCTAGCCTCAGTGCTAAATCTATGTCACTTAGAGTATTGACATCTCAAAAAACTTCTTTAACTGTGAAATAAATCTCACCACCATCGCTATTAGTTCATCATGTGTCTTCATACCTGATGAAACACAGCCTTTGCCATCTTCTGCTAGAACATACCCTTTTGCACAGGAACACACAACAGCCTTCTGTGCACTTTTTTTGATGCTGCAGAATTGCTCACAGTCACCATTGTTTATCTTGCAGTATTTTGGTATGACTATAAAAGAGACAAGTTTGGAGAAAAGTTGTAAATAAACACGGACTTCACAGAAGATCTTGAAGTTCACCAAATTAAACTGTACTCTTTAGACAGGATCTGCGTCTCCACCTGTAAAACAGCTGAAGCACATTTTAATAACAGCGTCAGTAGCTAATATGAGCTTATGCCTTACAAAGCAGCCACACCCATGGCAAGAAAAAAGCTTGCCAAATGCAGGTAGGCACAGCTGCCAGGTTACAGTGAGCTTAAAAAGGCAGGGACAAAGCAACAATGGAGGAAAGGATAAAACACTAGCAGAGAAGTCTGGATAATGGTAAATCCTCTGATGATTCCTCCCTCCTGCCTTGCAAACCTCAACTCCTCATCATTCTTCTCAATCCTATGTGTGAGCTTCAGCTCCACACCTCCCACTCCTACCTCTGAGTGACCAGTACACACTCCAGTGACACCATCATTATGGTAGTAGCCAGATGCCATAAACGTGAGAACCAGGAAGGATTTGTATGAAGAAATGGATTCCTTGCAAGGCTGAGAAGGTCTCTGCACTGTCTACTGAAAGCTGCTTTCTTTGTCTGGCTCTGTACTGCTGTGAGCTGAGCAGGGAGGGTGTGTTTCTGAGCTTGGAGTAAAGGCTCTTTGATATCAATTTTAAGAAGCCTATGCCCATTAGTTTTATCAGCATATTTTGGGGGTTAAGGCCAATGTAAAGAGGCACAACCGTAATCAAGAGGACTTGGAGCAAGTGCAACTTCTGAGCATTCACTAAAACAGTCCGGCTGGCACCGGCCTCCAACTCATTGTTGACTGCCGTTCTATTCCATTTATTTTTCCAAGAGGCAAATAATGCACATTAAAGATAGCATTAACACTCTGTGCTTCAGCGCCCTGCTAAATTCACTGTAACGGTTCTCTAAAGGAGAAACCTACCAAATTCACAGTTCTTGCCTTGATAACCATCCAAGCACGAGCAAGTGTAGGAACCAATTCCATCTTTACAATGTCCACCATAGTGACAAGGATTCGAGCTGCACTGATCCCCATCTACAAAAACAAAGCAAAAAACCAAGCCGTTTTAAGAGCGCAAATACTGTCAGTGAACTCTGAAGGGGGTTACATTTTAACAAGCAATCTTTCACCTTTCTTTTTAAAACATATGTCCTGCGAGTTGCCACATTCCAAATACAGTAAAGAGCAGGAATAATATTTCCAATCAGCGTGAGTCATATATATGACCTAAGTTTTGCAATCTGTTTTTGATGGCTACTGTATGACAGTGCATAGCTAAGCCTTCTGTGTAGAAAGATAAAGTAATGTTGCATCATTTATGGTGAAGGTTGTAAAAGCAGACTGGACATTTCCATGTTGTAACTCCTCCCCTCTAAAGATAATTTAGCCCTATGACCTCTTAATCTCCTTGGAATTTATGCATAATAATGACAAATCACTTCTTACTTCTTTTAAGGTCATCTCATCCTACGTGCATATCTTTTGTCTACAGTGCTGTTCATTTAAAAAGCAACAGACACCAACATATTAACCAGAAGATTAACAAAACAAACAAAAAAATGCTTTGCAAAGCCCTGCTATGTACATGTGTGCAGGCCAGGTTCCTGTTTTGCACTGCTTACAATACCAAAATGGTCCCATTGTATTTGTTGAGGTATGAACGTGAGCTTCAAAGAATTAGCTTGTACCTCGCGCCTGCCTCATACCTAGGCTGCAATCTCTCAAATTTGGAAGGTAGTTCTGCAGCCTCCCTTCCCTCCCATGACCTGGACACAACTAGCGGACCTGACCACAGGGGCCCAGCCATATGTACCTCACAGAGTTACTAAGTAGGAAAGCCGTGGTGGTGGTGGTGGTGGGGTTGCACTGCATTTGGAGGCATGTGCCACCTAGCAGCCCTTCCTCCTGCTCCCTCCAAAAGCACCTCACTCCCGCACTGATGCTCACTGCCACAGTCTCTCCCATCCAGTGACCTGCTGTGATAAACACATGCCTGCATCACATGACCTTGCACGGCTCTTCCAAACTTTGTGATAAGAAAAGAAGGATATCTGGAGAAGTGACACTTGCTTTATAACTTGTCTCCCTAGATGCACTCTCCTCATTTTCTGGTATTTCACCACCTGCTCTGCCCCTGTTTGGACAAGCTAGAAGAACAGCAATGCCCACAGAGGAGACAAGATGCAAGGAACTGCTCACGCTAAAGATCCAGCTTATAACCTGCATGAAGGCTCTGGCCTGTCACCTTATCTGCTGCAGCTGTATCTGCTGCAGGGAATATCTGTTGGGCTTTGTGCAGTGCCCCAACAACTGAACATCCTGTCGGCACCTGTATGAGGCCAAGAACACCAGCACTCTAAATGCTGCATTTGTGTATTCCACAAGACAGGAGTTAAAGACTGATGTCTGTCCTCAACAGAGGGAAGGTGAGACCACCATTTACTGAAGGAAAGGCAGACTCAAGGCCTACAGAACAGCTCCTGGTTTCTGCCTCATCAGTTGTGCCAGAGGGCTCCACTCTGTAGTGGTCTTAACTAAGTAGCATCTTACTGTTAAAATCACGCTTGTTTAGTCTTTGCCCAGACACCATAGTTGTTGCTGTGGACTGAGCTTTATAACAGTATTTCACAAAAGCATTACAGAATGACATATTAAAAAAGGAAATGAGAATGAATTGTTCTAGTAACTTGGCTGAGGGAAGCTGTGGTTTTCAATTCTTCTGAACACCAAAAAATTATTCATGGCCTGTGGTTTAAAATGTATGAAACTGGCATTTCCGCGAAGAGCACTGGCACTGATGTTCCGCTGCCCCTATTCTCATGAGAAAATGGGTTCAAATTTTCCATTCCTGTTAACTGCTGTTCCCACAGCACTGACGCAGGCATTGTTTGAAATTTCAGCCTGTAGGTTTCAGAGTTTATCTCCCTCCCCCTTAGCGGACTATGAAAGTTCTGAATCTTCATCACGGCAACTATCTTCAGTTTTCTGTGGAGTCCAAAAGACAAAGCTGAGCAGTCTTACTTCGGTCAAAATTTTGGAGGTACTCTTCATAGCATGCATGCTGGACACAGAGTTTCAGGAAAACACATTACTAAACATTAATACTTAAAAAAAACAGTAACCCTAATAAGTATACCTAAGAAAGACCTTCAAAAAAAAAAAAAAACAGAAAAGATTGATTGGCAGTATTTGCTAATCTGATGGTTTATCTTCCTTGAAAATTAAACAGTTCTGTAGCAAACACATCCTGCAAAATGCTAAACATTACAGGAATCAACAACGTAGCATGAAAGATGATTTAAAGTGGCGAGCCAGACTGAGCGATACAGGTAAATGCTTTAGCCAAGGCCAAAAATTAAAGTGCCACCCTCATCTATGACTCTTTGTATCTTCAGTTCCCCCACCTGGGGGACAGGTGGGGAGGACGACTAACTGGCAGAGTCACATCTCCAGCTTCTTACTGTCCTTCGCGTCCAAAGGGCCACCGTTTTTTTCTGAGAGGACAAAGATCATCCCAAGCATTGGAGGCAGCTGAACCTTGCCTTAGAAAGAAGTGACTGGGCAATGACAGTCAAGCAACGACAAGGCAGTAAATCAATCAGATTCCCTTTTCAGAAGAAATACAAAATGAGGGTGTTCACAATGAAAAGAGAGGAAACAAGAGGGCAGGAAGTGGTTACGTAAGAGATGTGTCCTTTTTAGCCTTGCAAAAAAAGAAGCTTAATTTTATAAACAAATGTGGAGTGTTTCTTACCTACATAGATATTCCAGAATTCCTCCTACAGGTAGGTTTGGGGAAAGGGAAATAGGAGAAGACAAACAAGAGTTAGATTGAAATCACTGAATTCAGTTCTTTAGGAAAATATTAGAGCTTTTATACATACCATACTTGCAGATAACAATTGTTGAAACACAGTATTTCAGTTACAGGCAAATACAGTGCCTTGCAGCCTAATACTGCCGTTTAATAAATTAAAACCCTATGATCATCTATAGTGCCCAGCCCTAGAGAAACAAATCTCACGCACTTTTCAGAAATACTTAACCTCCTTAGAGATTTCATAATGTGACTCACTCAACATAAGGCATTTGTTTTCTTGCATAACTCATCTTCATATTGGTTTGACTGGATTTACTTAAACTCCTGCAATATCAAACTCTCAGGCTCCTTCTCCTGTAGCCTCAGGACCTCAGAAATCCCAACATTTAAAAACGCTGTATCTCTTTCCCCTTCTCCCCTCCCTCTTGCACTGTGGACTCCAGGTATGCTGTCTGTCCAAGTCTCTTTTTCATGATATCTGGTCACCAGGTAGAACAGGCTGTGCTGGTTCTGTGAAGTACCCTTACGATGCATCCATGACTCTCCCACCCACGTCGTCTCAGGCACACTCCAAGAACATTCTGGCCAGCAAGTAATGCTGAAGTGAAATCAATCTGGCCTTAACTTCAGTTTCAGGGCTGTTCTTAACAGTCACATAGCTACAGCTGATGTTCCTGATTCTCCTCTACCCCTACTCACTTCAAGTTCTTAAACGCTACCTTTTCTACTGACCCCATCTTCTGGACTTGCCCCATCTCTTTAGATCTCCCTTTAGCTTTGGAATCGACCTCCCTCCTGTCTAAAGCTAATTAGCCTCTAGGGTAGGGAAGGTGACACAGGAATTACACTATAATTCTTTGTGGACAATTTGATATTCAGAGATATAAGAACTGTTCACACTACATATTCTGTCCATTTAAGTGCTGGAAAGAGAGGCACAAGATGATAAACACTGCAAAACTTCTTTAGATAAGTAGGCCCAATTTTTGCATGAAGTTCTGCATCAGTATTTGCCTTCTCAATCTTCCTGTGGTCTCTCCATCTAAGAACTCTTGAACACTCAGCTACGCCATGCAGATAGGGTGACAGTATTTCTAACATAGCTAATATCAAAATATTTAAAGGTTAAATACCTCACAACAGTGATTAAATAGATCAGACAAGGTAAAAGAATGGAGGCTTTAATATGGGCTGGTGTTGCAAGGGCTAAACTATGACTGTTCTCCAGTTTTCATATGTTTATCCTGTAGCAATTCCAATTAAAGTCAAAAAAACATCCTCTATTTATTCTTTGTGTTAAGTAATCAAGAGTATTTTGTGAGCTTTGATGCCCAGCTCAAAAGACCTTAATACTGTTTTGTAAACATGAAATATACAGGCCTATGTTTCATGTTAGTTCATCCTTACAGTTTTCTCTTGGTCTTCAAAAGCTTCTCTTGCCTCTTCTTTCGAGCAACGCTCCTCATTGCATTCTCTTTCAATATTCCCTTTTTTCAGTTCCTCCAAAAATGAGTTAGCACGTTTTGCTCTTTCCAAGAACTTGTCTGCATTTTCTTTCTTGATAAATACTAAAGAGTGGAGAAAGGGATAGAGGTGCCAGATAACATTTGGGACTGGTAAAGAGCCATTAGGAATAACTTAAGTGAAAACAAAAACAAAATAGATGCCCTCTCCACTCTGTCCTTAAGCAAAATTACCTATGAAGCCAGTTCTCACAGACTACTACATCCCAGGGCACATCTCAGAGCAGTCTCTCTGAGAATCAGTGGGTCCAGGACAGATCAGAGGGCTACGAAAATTCTGTCCTACTGCTTTTATTCTTGAAAATAAAAACCTGGAGATCAGCACTAAGGGTTTATATTTCTGTTGTTCCTGCTCAGGACTCCAGTCATGAGCAAAGTGACTTTCCTTCATACTCTGAAGGCCAGGGAGACTGCATTCCTTGCTTTGTTTTTAAAGCTGACAGCCAGGCAACACCACTTGCTGCTGCAGAGGCTTGTGCACCAGAAACTAAACACCGCATAGGCTCAAGATGCAGTAATGTATCCACATGGGGTTCAACTGATAGATGGGAAAAGCAGTTTCATGGTCCAGCCCTCAGAAAGAAATCTACAAAGTTCTACAAAATCTACACGTTCTACTGCCCTTCACAACCCCAAATCCCACTACTTTGCTCTGGGTTCTTCCTTCCCTCTTAACACCACTTCCGAACTGCCTGTGGTAACATTCCTGACTTACTGAATATAGCTTCAGTCTCAAGTTTAATGAAGAGCAGAAGTAAATGAACATCAGCTTTAGCATCTAAGGAAAGCCCAGCTTGCGCTCAGGATGCTGGGTTGTTTTGTTTTTGTAAAGGCTTGGCAGCACAGGAGAAGTGTGAGAACTGTTGCCTAGAAGTTTACGATGTAGGTAGCTGTTAATTTAAACTGAAGGATCAGAGGCACTACATTTAGGTCAATCACTTCGCTGCATGAACAATACTGTTACTCTCCAATAATTTGCGCACAAATTAGCAGCTAGGAAGAACTGAAACAACACTGGAGTAAATCAATTGCCATTTTGTACTATCTTATAAAAAGCAGATATTCTAGGAATGTTTGCCTAGTCTGAAAGCTGGCATTTAATTCTTTTATAAACATCTGGAATTAAAAAAACCCCAAAACTAAAAAAGATAAGCGCTTTCCAACCACTGACTGGAGTGTAGAAGACAGTGCTGCAGATAGGTCTTTAAGGCCAATAGCTCTTACTCGGTGGGTAGCTTGCACGTACCTTCTGGAGCGTACCTCAAGCAGCTCAATTCCATAACAAATAAACTAGCTGGTTAGTAATCACATATCTTAATATTGTTTAAGCGATCATGAAGGAGACTTAGTCTGTTTTCAGTGAAATCGGCAGATCAGCCTCAGGGAGCCAAATTTGGCTAGTGTTGTTTATATTAAGCAATACCTTAGAGCCTACATGTCCTTTGAGTCCTGTTTAGGCTGAAAAGGCTGCTTGCAAGCAAGGCTTACAGAAAGTGCTCCTAAGTTCTAGCTCGGCGATTGTTAGTTCACTATCTTATTTGTCCTTAAATCCCCTCCTACAGTTATGGGAAAGTGACAGGAGACAGCTGAAGGGGTTATTGCTCCTGCGGTCCTCTGCCTCCACATCCTTACTATAAGCAGCACTAGAGGATGTTTTAGAAATTTGAACTAGCCAACTAGCCTTCTGAGACTGGTCGTCTTCTTCCCTAAGTTTTCTGTCATGCTTCCACCTTCAAAAACATAAAGGACTAATGGACGTTGGTCAGTTAAAGCAGGGCGTTGCACAAGCTTGCCGAGCACCTTATTTCCAAACGTAAATAGGCTGATTCACTGAAGGAAGAGTTAATGACTTTTTGAGAAGTCACTTACTGCTGTTTTCTGTTTTGAACTTTGATGTTGATCCTAGTAACGCAAACAGCAGATGATAGAGCACGCTAACCTTCTCTGCACCCCAGCCCCTCATCAAGCAAGCGTACCCAGCCAAAACAACCATGCCCCAACCACCTCAGTGTCCCAGGACAGTCACTCCACGCCTTATGTATTCAAGTACGTCAAATTTTGAAGGCAGTGGTCCTCTTAGCATTAATGAAAGGAGGGGAGGGCTAGTAATCCAGTTTTACTTAGGGAAAATGGAAATGCGGCTAGGCACACCGACTTGAGAAAAGCCACTCTGGACCAAGATGGGAGATCACACCCCTGGGGCCCTCCAGCGCTGGGCTCAAGCCCAGGAGCCCTCTTGGCACAGCCCGAGGAGCTCTCCCCCAACAGAAGGTGAAGCCCGCCTGTCTTTCAGCACGGTAGAGGGGATGGCGCAGGTACAAACAAACCCTCTGCCATTTTGCGGAGCGAACCACCGAGGGAAGCAAAGCCCTC